ACCTGGAAAAAGTCTTTCAAATATATCATTAACAGTCAAACCAACAGGTAGTAACAGTGGTATGGGTAGTGGAGGATCATATCCAGATTGTCGTTGCAATTGTCACAAAACAGATTGGCAAATCTATTCGAATAATCTGGTATTAATATGAATATAGTCGCTTCTTTGTAATTTTCACATTGATTATACGCTTCTATGCACGCATATATACTCCCTTGCTTTTTAATTGAGATCGTAATGATTTGGTCATTGAAATCTATACATATATATGTGTGTTGCATGGTCTATACCTATGATGCTTTTTCTTTTCTTAAAATTCTGTAATTAATATTTGGAAATAAAATCATATTATTCATTTTGTTTTTGTTTTCTAGGCACCCATTGTTCAAGATGATCCAAATATGAAAATAATTATTTTTGAATCTCTTCAACTTCGACTTAGTCTTATCGGTGGAATGTTTGATACAATTGTCGTAAGTTGTTTTTACAAAGACAACTAGAAGTTTTTGACTACAGATCGGAATAGACGAGTGATGAGCGGAACCAATCGTTTTCGGTCCCGATCAAACACAAAAAAAAAGTTTAGTTCTTGTTTCATGTTTAGTAATATACATACTAGCAAAAAAAATTCGATATCATTTTCTAGCTAATTTTCGCTTAAACTCTTAGAACACATGAGTCATGAGATTATGACATTTGACGCATGTCTTTCTCTATGAGTCTACATATATTCGATTCTTCTGTTATCAAAATCTTATAGTTGCAATTTTAATTTGCAACAAACAATATCGTTTTTTTTCTAGCGTAATAATAATTCTGCAATAGAATGGATTTCTGTTTTTTCTCAATTAATTGCATCAGGTGTTATTGATACAAAAAATAATTCACCTTTATTAAATACTGTACTTGATATGCTTGGTGTTCTTGTACATGGAATTGTACCAGCAGAAGGACCTATTGAAGCAAGTCGAATTTATATGACATTAGTACGAAAAATTCGTAAAGATATTGGTGAAAGACGTTCAGAAGCATTAGATGAAGTTAAACGATTTCTACCATTACAAAAATTATCATTTGATATATATGTTGTTGAACCATTTGATGGTGTTAATAATCGTATGTTAAATCCTGAAATGAAAAAACATGGATTACAAGTTGCACGAAAAGTATAATTTATTTGAAATTTAATTTAATAGAAAAAAAATTTTATTTTTCTTTTTGTAAGGAAAAAATCAATAGTTGGGAAATGATTGAAGGTTCAAAATCAGCAACATCAATTTGTTATTCATGGTTTTGTGCAAAAAAAACTGAACGTAAACGTTTAAGATATGAAGAACAATATCGTTTATTACTTCGTCATAAACATAATCTATTTGATAAAAGTCTTACTTACTTTCGAGTATGATATTTTGTTTTTTCTATTTCAAAATTTGTATACATTTCTTACAATTGAATTTTATTTTTTTTTCTAGGATCCACCAGTTATTCCACCTGAAGCTCCCGAACATCCTGAATTAGAAATTGTTGGTGAAAATCGACCATCAATTCACAATCCAATGTCAGCAGGTCCAGGCCCATATGTTCCTATGTCACCTATACCTGGTAGCCATATGCATCCACATACACCAGGTATGTCTAAACCAATGTTATCAGCAATGGGTGATATGTCTGGTAAACAACCACCACCTCATATAGGTGTATCATCTGTTCGTGCAACACCTGAACGTAAAATACGTGGACATGCACCTGCAGCTGCCAGTGGTCCAACAAAACGTACACCACGTATGCCACGTAGTGGATCAACACGAGCTACTGCAATACAAGCACAAGCTCCAACAGCACCAAATATGTATTCAACACAACCAACATCATCACCACATTCAATTTATCCACAACCAAGTTATCCTCCATGGCCACAAACTGTACCTGGTCCTCAACCATCAATGATACCAAACTATCCAAATCCAGCACAAATGAAACCACAACATCCTATACAAAATGTTCGAACTACTGGTGTTGTTCCTGGTCGTCCAAACGTACAATACCAAAATCAAGCAATACAACAACCACCAACATCACAACAACAGCAACAACCACAACAACAAGGACAACCATCACAAATGTCAGTTGGATATATGACTGATCCAACATCAATGATGGTTTCATCAACAGGTGCTAATACAATTCCTCCAAATGCTAATCGACAACCAGTTGCTTCAGGTAAACGAAAATTGACTGAAGCAAACATGTATACTAATGAACAAACTCAATATACAACAACAGCTAAAATACAAATTCAACCAACAGGTAAAATTTCAAAAAATAAATTTTATTTCATATATATATTTGTTTTTGTTTTGTTTCAGTGGGTTCAATACCACAATATCAACAAAATCCAGTAATGATGCAACAAAATGCTTATCTACAACAAGGACAACCACAACAAACGTCTCATTCACAAATGTATGCTCAAGGACAAATGTCTTCTGGTCCATATATGAATAATGCAATGCTTGGAAATCCAGCAAAGTAAATTATAAAAAAAAAGATTCGTTTTATTTTACTATTTCTGGTTTTTTTTTATTTGATATATTTAGTATGATGCCGCAACAAACATCTGTTTATCCAAATATGATAAGTAATCAACAACAAAATGTTTATAATCCAACAGCTGGTAATCCAACTCTTAATCGAACACCAAATCAAACACCAATGTCAATATCAAATCAACAATGGTCAAATAATCAAACAATGAATGTTAATAGACAACCACAAAATGCATATAATCAAGTAAAAACAAAATTTTTTTTTTCTTGAATTATTTTGTTATTTTTATTTCATTATTAAAGATGATGCCATCTGATCCACAACAACATTATGTTCAACAGCAACAACAACATTATCAATAAATCGAATATTGTCTGATAGATTGTTTTCATATTGTTTCTATTTTTGTTTTGACGCACATTTTAATATCTATACTTTTGTTATTGCTTGTGTTCTCCGCTATGCGTCAATAAGCAGCATCTATTGTGGTATTGTCATCTCAATCTATATTTTTTCTTTACTTGCTCATTGTTGCATCATAGAGAAAGTTTTTTTTTTAAATGTATATATCAAGCTTTATTTATTGTGTTTATCAATATACAGGAAAAACAAACACAAAGAATCCATGTGAAAAACAGAAAAACAATAATATTGAGAAATCTTTTCAAGCCGAGATATTGTTCAAAAATTAGATTTGTCCATTATTACTTTGAAAAGATAATCAGAAAATGAATATATATATATATATACGAGAAGAAAAATAGAATCCAGTGAAGTCTATCCTTCTTTTACAGTCTAACGAGGAAAGCTCTCCAACTAACAAATAGCTTTTGAGTCAAGACTATGTGCTTCATGTAGATCCAAATGAGCTATGAATAAACTGAAAAGAGTTCATACCCTTAATTTATTGCTGCGAAGATACTGCACTTTTTAAGTATTTTTTGAAATGAATACCGTGATAACAGAAAAACTTGTTTTCGATTTTTGACTTGATACTTTGCATCAGGTTTTTTGATTTGCTTCTATCCCGAAATAAAAACATCAAATCTACTAGTTTATATGAGCGATGTAAAAGACACGCTATTATCATAGCTCTATCTTAGAATAGGAACAACGATAAAAGTTGAAACAATCATAAGAAACTATTCTTGTTAAGATCTGACTCTATACAAAGTTTCAAATTGAAATTCGAAA